AGTATAGTAGAATGTTATTCGTTTATGATTATATTTCATATTTTATTATATTCTACTGTATGTGATTTTCGAATTTATGTATTCAGAGCTTTATTCAGTTCGATTTGATATATTGTATTGTTGTTTTATTTGAAATTGTTATCATATTCGTATCATTGACGTCGTTGCTAGTCATGTAATATTATATGTTATAATATTCTTGAGAGGGGAGGCATGTCGCATACGACTTGTTTACCACTTCCGTGTGACTGAGAATGTTCTAGAACCGTACTGTGTCTGGGTGGAATTTTTAGAAGCTGGTTGAATAGGTAATAGAACACTGTAGAAGGCAATAGAAGGTAATGGAACATTCTAGAAATTTGTAGTAAATTCAAGACATATTATGTATGCTGATGTAATGGTATATTTATAGACAGTGTGGGTATATATAGGGGAGTTGTTCAGCACTGAGATGAGATCGGAGATCTCGTTGAATTTTATTGGAGTTTAAGTGTCTAGTTATTGGAGTAGTGGAGTTTTACCGCGTTATTGTACTTGATGTTTGCAGAGTATAATAATACCAATACCAGTTGAAACCTCATCTGTTGGCTCCGTGTTCGTATTTTATCATCGTCGCCAGGGACGTCTTTCTGTTACTGTTGCCATTTTGGTATTTGAACCATCACATCTGTACTATACCAATTACGGTAATATTACGTTGCGTGTGACACTTTCTTTTGATAATATGGATGGAGTTCCAGTTGAGTTCGTCCTGGATCAAAGTTCACTTGAACATATTTCAGAAATTTGCACATTTGATCAACAATCACTGTTATTTTACCGGATGGCCGAAGGAAATACTACCATTGTGTTCAATTTAGTTTCTGCTCTTTTTCCCGGTTACGGAATACACTGTAAATCTAGGAGTTTTAAAATATGACACATTTTTGTCCCACTTTAAAATCACTTTAACTGATTTATAATTAAACACATTATTTTGTTATTCTTAAAATCGCAAATGAGTTATTTTACAAAACTATTTTTTGTGATAAAACATTTAAAGTGTTTATAAACTTGTCCCACTTTGAAAACACATAAAGTGTTTATAATCTGCATAATTGCGAGAAGTGTATAATATGAAAACACTTTCATTGGCACATTTCAGGAATGTTTTGCACATAACACATTATGTGAAGTGGTGCCATTAGAAACACGTTTTGAAAAGTGTTTCCACCAGACACATGTATAAAAAGTGCTTATTATCACACAACATTTAAAAGTGTTTTTACTAGTCACACATTTAGTAAAGTGTTTCCACCAGGAACATGTATAAAAAGTGCTTATTATCACAACCTAGGCCACGGGGTACTTAATTCACCACGTGTCTCGATTTCTAGTTGTACTTAGGTTGGTAAGACCATATAGGTTGGTGATTGACATAACATTATTTTCTGAAGTTTCGGTGATTGGCTAGTTGGCATATACACCACAATGTTTACTCACGAGTCCCGGACTTTTCACTCAATAGTGTTAAAACTGCTTGCATTACGTTTGATGCATTAGTCCATAAATGTTCTATTAATAAACACTTTAATGACACATTATGGTCCCGTAAAACACGTAGTGTTTTATTTTGAAAAAGTGTATTTTGGTGCTTAATTTTCATCAAAATTTGTTTTAATAACTCTTTAAACACTTTTCTAAAAATACTAAAACAATACTGTTTTGATAGAAAATACAAGTGTTTTATTATATAATACACATGTTTTTAATTACAAGAGTGGGTTTTTAATTAAAACGGTGTGTTTTAATGAAAAACCTGAAAGTGCTTGCAATTATATGTTTATATGCACCTGACCATGCTGGTGATGTGTGAGAGGCACATAAAAGACGATGGATTTCGTAACTCAATCTTGATATACATATTTTATATATTACCACATTATATATTATGATGTTCTCGTTCCTTGACGTTATATGTTTTTTTTTTAAAAGGTTGGTACCAAATTACTGGATAGCGGCCACTGGGGACGGCCCGAAGACATGACTATGGCCAGACCACCAGACATGGTGGATGCTACCTCACCAGGATCAGATGTAGCCGGGGAAACGGCGGCCGCATTGGCTGCGTCGTCACTCCTATTCCAAGAATCCGGTAATGACAAAGCGTCTCGACGTTACTCACTTTAACTATTAGTAATAAAGGTGTGACAAAAGTAACCACATAATAATAGTAATTTGACAGAATGCCAAACAATTATATATAAGACCACTCTGGGTAAAATTAGCATAATAACGGGAGATAATAACCAAGCATTCCGCTTATACTAGCTATTAACATCTCGCTCAAGAAATACACTACAAAATCACTGTTCATATCACGTTACTATGTGTAAATTCCCAATTCCCTGAACGTCTTTTCTTGGATTATACTACTATTGTGAAGGCTGACGTACACTCATTTGTTCTAAAAACTCCTAATAGTGTGATAATTCTGAAAACATAAAATCCCAATTTTCACTGTTATTGCGTTATATAATGATTTCCACGTTGATTTTTGGTTTTATTTGTGTAAACTTGAATTCTAATTCATTTTTAAGGATTACATATCCATTTAGTGCGCATTCTAGATTTATATTCAAATTCTAGGGCTAAACGCACTCACTAGATACACATAGATGGGCGCATGACAACATCGACAACAGTTCTAGTATTGTTCAACGAACTTGCGATAATAGCGATCATACACTATTTTCGTACATAAACGAAGCCAAAAATGTGACAGATACAATAATTTAGTTGTGAGTCATTACATTTACGAAACCTATGGCAGACCCGGTGAGACTTGTTCAATTCAAACGCTACGCTATGCACAGAAAATGTTACATGGTTTCCGTGTTTTGATCAGTTGCTAATACACCCGCAATCACCACAGGGACTTGGACAAATTTATGTATTTTAATAAATTATTAAATAATGTTATATAAATTTTCTTTTACCACCCCCTGGTCTTTTACCCCCCCCCCCACACACACCTTTGTTTATACCACTCTTTCCTTTATCACAACTTTGTTACGCGCTAGAGGTCAAAGTTCGCAAAAACCGGTTTCCGGTTTTACGGTTATGCTCCTGCCATGTCGCTCGATCGCAATGAGTTTTACAGCGAGCACAAGATATTTACATACACCTAACTCGCGCACCCGCTAGGTAATTACCGAGGGACTTTGCAACATCCCCAGACACTTTGCTAGACGCCCCAACGACCGTTGT